GACATTATCTAACATGAGATCATTATTGATTGACATATCTCACATGATATTTGGAGTTGCAATTTCTTCTGTTAACAACATGTATAATCAATTTTGGATTATTTACGATGACCTAATTCAATTAATGAAATTGAGAATGAAGAACTCGACTTTATTTCTGAAGAAGATCATGATAATAAAGAATCCGTTGATGGTATTTCAGCTTCTTGGGATATTGCAATACTACAGTTTATTCAACAATGATTAAAATTATTATATAAATATATAGTAATCATAAGTTATTTAAATATATATATTAAATATGATATATATAAATCTAAAATACAATTTTAATAAATTTTTGAAATAATATAAATGGTATATAATAAATAAAAATTATGCTTTTATTTTATTTAAATTCTATTTAAATTTACATTTAATTTAATTAGTCAAATTGATATTTAAATTAATTGGTCAATTATTGTTTGTTTTGAGTCATCAAATTATCCAATCACGTGAACTTCTTCCTATAATATAGGATGGCGAAAGTACTCAAGATAGTTTGACATTTTGATTATGTGTCATATATATATGTGCTTTCATAAATGGTTGTTGACTAATTAGGCTAGACTAGTATAGTGGGCTTTTATTGTGATTGGCTAATTTTTACCAATCAATTTTTATGATTACTAAAATTCTATTGACTGTTAAAGTCACATGATTAAATTGAAAAATAGTTAATCAAAAGATAATTTTAATCAATAAAAAAAAAATATATATCAAATATATTATTTTTGATCACACTTTATACATTAAATATAGCAAAATTTTTATCAAATTATGCATTTATTAAAGTATTCATAACATTTTCAAAAATTAAATTTATTTTTGTTATCTAATGAAAAATCTTCACTATCATTATTAGTATTATCAATAGTTTTAGTATTATCCAATTTATTTATACCCTCATTTATAAAAATTTTATTAAACAAAATTAAAGCTTTCTGATAATTTTTACAATTTTTTTCAATTTCACTTATAAGATAATTAACACAATATTAACATTGGATTTCTAATTTAAATAAAAAATACTCAAAATAATAAGCATATTTGCAAATTAAAATACAACCTACTTTATGTAAATTTACCTAACCTTTAAGTTACAATATTTTCTTTAGGAAGGTGTATTATATTCTAAACTATTGCCAAAATTTTAATATCAACTTGAGCTTATAATGTTAAAAGTTCATATGTTTTCAATTTTAAATGTATATTAGATGAAACAATCTTTGATTTGTCAAGATATTTGTAAACATTTTTAAAAAGATTTAATAAGAAATTCACAGTCTATTTTTTAAAATATTCCAATTGCTTTACTGAGTATCTAATATTATAATTCTTAAAAAATACATCCATAAAAAAGTTGCTATCACACATCTAATTGGTTACTTATGCTTATCAAATAATCTAATTTATTGTATTTGATTTCTGTATTTATGTTTAAGTAAGCTATAAAGTTTTCTATAATAATCATTAAAAATATGAATGAAATTTGCAAAAACTTTTGAAATAGAATAATTAGTACTATTTCAATAAAAATAAAAAATATCACTTAAAAATGCTAATGGAAGTTTATTATAGTTCTTATATTTATATTGAAATAAAATATTATATATTTATATATTATCTAATTTCTACTACAAAATATAACAGGGTAGAAATCTAAACTAATAGAACAATGTTATCTAGCAAATTGATGAGATATCAGACTTCTGAATTTTTAGACAATTCGAATTTCTGTGAAATGATTAATTATACTCAAAACTAATCCTAAAATACAAGTTCAAGTATCAAATTAATTTTATAAGGTTTTGGCTTTTTTGTTAATACCTTTAGATATCTGAATATTATATAAAAAAGTCTATCAAAAAATATATAATTTTTAAGAAATATGATTTTATAACTATTTAAGAATACATGCAAAGGTTCAATTATTAGAATAATATGCAGAATTTATTTTAGTATTCCAGAAGAATCTTTAACTTTAATGTGATAATTAATAGCATACTATATATAAAGTTTTTCAAAATAGTCAATATGTATAACTAATATTTGTATTTTTATATAATCTTTTATTTTAGAAACATCTATCAGGTGTTTAAAGACTTTTATATAATTATTAGTTAAATGAAAAGATTCTTCTTTTAAATCAAACAGTTTTGTATTTACTATACTTTGACCTAACATTATTTAAATATATTATCATAATCATGAATTAAGAGATGCTCAGCTTTTTCAACATATATCTTTAATAAAGATTTTAAATCAACAAAACTTTTTTTTATTCTACATAACCAAGCCATAAATAAGAGAAGAAAAATGTGTTAGCATTTGATATTATGATATTTTTATTAATACTCTTTTATTATGCATATTCCTTTCTTAATTAGATTTATAAAATAGAATAAATGTTGTTTCTGATAAAAGTATTATAAAAAAATAAGAAATTTCATATGTAATTATTATATCACTATGATAATACTTATAAATGTTTTAAAAATTATTCACATTTAGAATCATTAAACTTCTAATCTGTAAATAAATTATAAATGTTAATTTATTATTTACAAATAATAAAGCTAAGAAAAATTTTGTATATTTATATTTTCTAACAAAAACTTTTCTAATGTCACTGTATACACTTCTACTTAATGAGTTTTATATCTTATAATAGTTTCACATTTTATTATTAAGCTTGTGTTAACTAAAATTTTTATTACTGAAAAAGATGCTCTAGATGTATCTAGTAAAAGTCTAATTTTACCTTAACTCTATTAATAAACTTATTGTTAAGTTTTGTTAGAAGATAACAAAATAAAACTAATTTTATCTTATTTTTTTTTATTAGTTATATAACTTTTAACTTGTAGATTAGTTTCATTACTAATTAATCAAAAAAACCTTTCAATGATAATTTAACTTTTTCAAGCATTTTTTTGAATTTCTTTGAATTGAAAATAGTTTTTCATAACATATATGTTACATTGTATATAAAGTTCCTAACATTAGTTAATTTTTTTACCTAAAAGAATTATTTTTACAAAAAAAATTATAAAAAAAATTATAATACAGTTACAAAAAAAATTAATTACTTATCTAATTTTATTTCATTAAGTTCTGCATATACTTCATGATATGCAAACTTTAATTTCTAAAATTCAGATTCAGAATAAATAATATCACTTTGCAACACATCTGATCTATTTTGAAATTTTCTTATATCTACTCTTAAAATTTTCTTAGGTAATGGCAGATAATCAGATGAATTAATATATTTCAGATCATTATCAATCTTATATAAGTAACGATAACACATCATTGCCTCTTGCTATAGTTCAAAATATTAAATTAACCATTCTAGAGCTTTCTTAAGTTTCTTCTTTTCTATATCGTTTCAAGTTATAAATATATAAATGTATATTTTAGATGCAAACATTTATTAGTTTTAGATTTTTTTCTTTTATTCACTATTAATTATTATAGTATTTTCGATATAGAGTCTTATCAATTAAATTCAAATAGTAGCTTAAACATAAAATATCTATTTTTCAAATACAATGAATACACTGTATTGTTTATAATTATAGATAATATCATCTTGACCCTTAAAATTATAATACTAAGCCTTCCTTTTTCCTATTTTTTTTATTAAGAAGAGATGTATCTTCATAGTGGGTAAACATTTTGCTTGTATTCCTTTTTTTTTAATAATAAATAACTTTTATAAAAAAAATTGCTATAAAATCCTTATTAGCTAAATCTGAATTACTTACTACTTATCAAATTATTTTAACAGTCTATAGAATAGAAAGTAAACTTTAAAAAATTTTTATCATATAGTCATGATATTGTTATTCTAATTGTAATGAATAAAATTATACCATTTTTTTTTTTGGTTTTAATATCTTTTAAATCGAATCTGTTTTATTATTATAATATAGCTAAATATTCTATTTTTCATTTATTAATACTTAGCTTATATGGGAAGATTGCTAGGAAAATCAGGCTCTTGGAATTTTTTAACAAAATTCTGTTTTTTATTGCATTTTAGTTTTTGATATTATTAGATTAAAATGTAATAAGGTCTTAATTTTAGTCCAGAGTCTGATTTTCCTAGCAAACTTCCCATATTATGAAATTTGCTATAATAAGAATGGATTTCAAGTATTTATATATTCTTACTTTTACAAGATAATGTTAATGAACATTTCCGATTCTTACTAACATGGTTGTAATAATTCAATAAAATACAAGTTGAAAAGAATGATGATAATATTCTTTGAGATGAAAATGAGGTAGGATGTATGATATTTACATTGGAAAAAGCATTTGTGAAAATCTTAATCACATATATAATATTGTATTCTAGGTCTTATAATGTTTGAAGAATTCTGGTAACGCGTTTCTATAAACAAATAAACCTGGTTTCTCAAATACCGTAAAAAGCAGAGAACACGAACTTTTAAAGTTAATGACGACAATATTACAGTAATTTACATATATATTTATCAGCATCTTTTAATTATCTTTGCAATTAATCTAATCCTTCACCTTATACTAACCTGCAAGAGTAGACCTTACGAGAACTCTCGGTACAACGAATCCTCTGGTTTACTGTAAAATTATTCATATTTACGTGTTCGACTTGAATATCACGCGATATTTGCAAATTAGTATGTCATTCAAGGTATTCTGTTAGAAATCATAATAATTCCTTTGGACAAATTAGGATTTAAATCTTATGTTTCGTAACTATATGCACTTTTTTTTGGAAACTATAATTTGAATAACAATATTTCAATACCATATCACTGATTTATCAACAGATCTTATCGTTTTTTCAAAAACTACATTTATTAATTTATCGAAAAGTATTTCAAAATGTTCAAAATGTTCAAAATGTTTTTAAAAAAAAAAAATCCCCCGATATCGAAAATCACGCACTAATTTCTGAAATTAATCTAATTATCCTTAAATATCTCGTTCACAAAATGTTTTATGACTTCTTTTCCCTTTGTTTGAAGCGAATTTCTCATCACAATAGCTGCATGTGAATTGAATGCATCAAGATAAACAGCATATTTTTCCCATGTTAATTGATTTAAGTTTGCAAATACTTTACGTTGATCATTACATAATTGAACGTGAGGAAATTCTGAAGATGTAGTAGTAAAATTTTCCAATGGATTTATTGACGGTAATAATGAATTTGCTGAATTTGGTGTTGTAGGCGAACTCGGTGTGAGAAAATTTCTTATGTTCATTGCAGCCTCTACGGCATCTTCTTCTAAACTTGTAGTTCTAACGGGGATTTCATGATTTGAACCATAAACCTCATTTTTGGCTTTTGAAGCTAAAATCTTTTGCACTCTTCGCCTTGACAATATTCCTTGTATTGTAATAGTACTAAGTATAAAGACAATCCACAAAGGTAGTAAAATAGGAATAGCTAAGCCAACTAACAAATAACGTGCAACTTTTTTTGACTGATTTTTTAACATTTTCATAAAAGGAATTTTTTCTGAACTATTTTCAAGTTTTGATATTGACTCTACTATAACATTGAATTTCTCATTTGTTACTCTAAAAAAAAAAAAAAATGAATAATTATTGATATACAATAAATGAAAATGATAATTAGCTAAATAATAACCAACATTTTTAATTCTTCGACGTTATCGAATGGATCGACTTCAGATATCGCGGCTGTCCAGAAAGGAACTGTTCTATCATTCCTGACGTTTGCATATAATGTTCTATATTTAAACGCGGAAAGGGCTTTGAAGTAAATTTTGTCTTTTGAATTTCGGGGAGAATGAAGGATAAGATTAGATATACTACTCAATGATGAATATTGCGAAATAATATAGCTTTACCTGGACGAGATATTGTCAATAAAATCGGCTCATCTTCCTCGTATTTATCCATGAAGGTAAGTTGTTCCCCTAGTAAATATTACAAAAATTAGGAAAAAAGAGTTCATTTTGTAATAAGTTTTAATAATGCGCATACCAGTTTTTGACAAGAGTGTTGTTGATACCCAATTAGTTATTTTTGTAAACGTTTTATCGTCTTCGCGTCGAATGCCTAAATGTGGAGTTGCAAATGTTGTGAACAGCTACAATAAATTGATGAAATGATTAGAATTAAATTAAATGTGAAATGAGAGAAATGAATAATATATCAGAAATTACATACAATCGGTTTAACTGTTTTAAAAAACCCTCTTTTATAAAGTATTCCAATCGCATATCTTGATATTAGGCCACCGAGGGAGTATCCAACAATACTAAACTTAGTGACTTTAAAGGTTTTATCTTGGAGTGATTTAACTTCAGTATAAATCTATTTTCGGACAGGCGATTTAACTTTTAATCTCTACTTTAAATCATAATAATAATAATAATAAATACTTCATCGACAAGTCTATCCCCACAAACATCTACACCATCATAAGTATAAGCAGATGAATTGTTCTTTGAATTTAGCTGAATTGAAAAATATTAAAAACGTTTTAAACCGATATTTTCGGAGGAAGAAAATTGAAAATAAATAAATAAATAACTTACAATATGAACGTCGTGGCTATTTTTTTTCTCAAATCGATCAACTAAATACTGTAAATGACTATGATTTCCCCATAAGCTAAAATCAAAGATTTTTAAATTAATTGCATTGTTGTTAAAGATAAAAAAAAAAAAAAATTATATAAATTTACCCATGAGCAAATACAACAAGGTGAATATTATTCATTTTTTTTTTTTTTTAATAAATAATAAAAAATATATTTGTATAAGATATAAATTAATTTCTTACAAAATTTAAAAAAAAAGTAAATTTAAATGAACTTTTGTTTCAGAAATAGAGTTTTTTTTTTATTGACAAGGAAAAAAATTAATGGATAAATATCGTTCCAAATCGGGCCTTCGATCGGGCCTTCTCATTAGATTTCATTGGTAAACGTGCAAGGATATTTTATTTTAGGAGAATCTTATCCATTTAGCCTTTTATACAAGTGATAAAAAGATTTATTTATATAGGTAAAGGAATAAAGAATATACCCGGATGTATTTTAAGGATGCCCAATATTTGCTGATCACCATATTCTAACTTAAGAATCAATATTAAAATACATTTCAGATTATTATAATGGAAGGCAGATCGTCAACTTACATAACTTACATTACAAGTGCAAGCTTTTGACGTTTTAATATAAAGTCTCGTGACAACAAGAACTTCGCGACTTGAATCTTTTTTCTTTACTAAACGCGTCAAATTGCAAACATTCATTTTATTTGCATACACTTTTCAAATATTCTTTCATACTTGATATTTCATATTTCATTTAATTCATATAATAAACTTCTCATATCTAATTACAATATGGTAAGATAGCTAATAATGTTTAATGCTTCTTGTTCTTTTTGTTTTAAAATCATAATGTAAAAACTGTTTTATATACATATTTAATAAAACTAATTTCTGCTAATTTACTCAAAAAGAATGATAAAGAAAATGAGGTATCACATTTGCGTGATGCAAACTGGAAGCAGATAGTGGCTAAAGAGTCTGATGAGCTACGGTTAGCACATGACCAAAATAAGAAAAATGAGAAGCAGTATAAAGTGACTGAAGATTTATGAAGAACTGAGACGCATTTGGTAGCTGAAGAGGAAGCTTGATGTGCTTATATACATAAAAAATATCTATTAAAAAAGTCTAGAGAAACTGCTCAACAACATGCTATAAGACTTTCTAAGAATAGGACAACTTTACGTCAAAAAAATGATTTAAAAGGTGTTTCAACTTCAGATCAGAAGCTTCTACTCAAATTTTACAATATAATTAGTAATTTGAGAAACAATCTTTATAATATGTATAATGAATGATTCAGTTTATTATACTTATTGATAAAGAATACTGTCAATGTTATAAAAAAGTATACCTAAAAGATTCTCTGCTGAAAACAATATGGATCCAAGTAAGATCTAAGTAAAAATATTTTCATTATATAAAATTGAACTTGATGAACTCATCTATTTTCACTTTTTTTTAGGCAAAGTTTTACAAGAGCTTCAGGACTTAAATAATATAAAAAAATGCTTGTATAAGTATTTTCTGTTGTTGCAGTATATAATCTTTCTAAAAAATAGTATATATATTATGAAAATATTATTTTTTGCAAAATGTATAAAAATTCATAACCTATTTTTCACGTGACTTATTATCATTAGATTTACTTATCATTTAACATTATACTGAAAATGGATCTAACTTTCATGACTTTTAAGTTTGTTAAAAAAAGTAATACAAGTTCTTCTGTGATTAAAAGTCAATAATATTTATTATTATAATATTAATATCAATAACAATATTTTGCAAAAATTATCTGAAAATGGATCGATTTTAAAGTAGCTCTTATAAATCTTAAATGATAGTTTTCATCATGAAGAGGAAAGACTAAGTGAGCAAAATGAAGATGAAATTGAAGATGATGATATTTATTTTACCTCGCAAACATTTATTTTTGCATTACCTACTAGATATAATGAAAACAATATGATTAATAAAGTTCTTCATTAAATGTAACATGATTGTCCTTTGCATAAAATTGGTTACATAATAAAGATACTTTAATTGATAAATTTTATACTCTTAGATACATAATACAAGTTATTTCTATACTTTATTCCAATTTATTTATCATTCACAATGATGTTATTTTGTACTAAATATAATAATGAGATGGAAAATATTATCAAAAGACTATATATTTATCTGACAAAATTTAGATGAAGAGTAACTTACTGTAGCTGAAATCTTAGATTTAATAAAAACTAATAATATTATTATAGACTGAGTATTATATTATAATGAAAGATTATGTAATACTCATCAATATTAGATGCATTATAGAACTAAATTAATAGATATGATAAAGCAGTTGAGATCTCAAAAAATGATATTTTTCATATTTAATACAAATGATACATATTGGCTAGACCTATATAACCTTATATCTAGTAGAAAAAATTTTATAAAAGCAAAATCAAATTAGAATACTACTAGGGTCAATATAGAATCTTATAGATAATCTACATATTATTATATAGTTTTTTGAAAAGTAGTTTAAAAACTCATATCTAAATAGAAATTATTAAATAGTAGTATCATTTTGAATAGTAATATCATAGTAATGTTCATATACATAGTATTGTCAAGAGTAAAGATGCACCTAAAATTAATTAAAAAAATGAATAATAATAAAAAGATAATAAAAAGTGTTATGTGCTACTTAGATTCTTTAATTTTAACAATTAATCTTAGATTAGAGATATTTTCTTCTAATCATCATTATATTAAAAGCATTTTAAGAATCTTAATAATAATATTAGCAAATTACATTGAATTAATAAATAAATTATAATATTATATATGTTATAACTCCTACTATCTATGAATTGATAAAAAAACTGGTAAACTGAAATGTCAATTTAGTTTTTTTAAAGAGTTAACAAATCAAATGACTATTTAAATGATAATGATCATTTAAAATTAATAATAATCAAAAATAATCTATTTATAAACTCACATAATCATATTTAACTTCAATAATAAAGAGTAAATATTAATTTGAAACTTATTCTCATACAATATATTATTTTACAGTATGTTTCAAAATATACTAATAAAGCTAAGCTGTGATTTTTAACTTTTTTAAAAGTTTTAAATCAAGCTTTTCATAATGATAATCTAGATAATTCAAGTATAAAAGTATTTTAAAATTGCTTATTCATATAGTAAAAGAGCATGATTATTTAGTTTAGAAAACTTGCTATCTTCTCTATCAAATTCCACTTTATTATAGTAGTAAAAATTTATTTGCTTAAATCTTAATAAAGAGACAAATTAATAGCTTTATAATAATAAATATAATGAAAACAGTGAAATTAAAAAAACAGATCTCTCATTTTTATATAGATATTGCAGGTAATCTACTGAATTAAGTAATACCGTATTCTTTCAAAAATAAGCAACGTAATTTTGTTATAATGTTGCTTATTTTCAAATAGTTAAATTTTTTTAATGTATTGTATAATTTGATTTTTCATGTTATAAAATTAACATGATTCCAATGTGATTACTGATCATTTAATATACATTATGTGTATTGTGAACTAGTTTACGAACTTGTTTTACGCCAGTTACTATGTCAATTGTAATAAATAAAAAATGTCAATTGTTTCGTATACTTAGATGTAAGTGAAGGTGCTAGAGAAACTGCTACGAGAAATCTTCGCCTTGCTAGATTGGGTGATGTATGCTTGTTAGTAAAATTTGCTTAGGAAGCAATCCATGATAAACAATTGTAGAATCTTTTAAGACTTGTAAAATTTCAACCAATTTAAATGAATCAGTTTCTGAATTAAAAATTAGCGATGATGATGTAAATAGCGTTAATAGTGATGATGATGGTGATGATAACACTGGTAGTGATTATTGTAGTGATAATGATAATAGCCATAATAGTGATGACAGCGAAGTTGTTAAAATTTTGTGATTAATATATGTATTTACGATAGTAATGCAAGCAATTATTTTATAAAAATTCATTAATAAAATACTTTTTTTGGTTTATTTGAGCTTGATTTTATTATTTAAAATATTCTTATTACATTACATATAGTTTTAATGCGAAACCAATTAAATATTCAATGTGTTGCTTATTTTCAGGTATTATTTATTTTAAGAGTTACTTATTTTTGGGGGTTGCTTATTTTCAGATGAATATGGTATGTCATATTTAAATTATATCTGTAATATAAATTAGTCAAAGAAGAATGGGTAAAATGTAGTATAGAAAATATTTTATGTATCTGACTAAGACTATCTCTAATCAAAAATAGTTTTTAGTAGAAGAATTTCGTCAAATAAAAGTTCTTTTACATGTTAGTTATAAAGACATTCTTATTCTTATAAAAAACTATATACTTTTATAAATAGATTTATACAACTGTTATCTTTCAAAAATTAATAATAATTCTAGTGATTTAATTAGTTCTGCTATAGATAATCTTAAGAAAATTAATAGTAACAATTCTGATGATAATTAAGATATTATACAAGATGAATATGAACTTTGAGTTGACTAAATGGTATTATCTGAAATAATATCAAATTGACAAAAATACAATTTAATTAATTCTCTTAGTAATCATAATATTAATATAAATCATGATTAAGTTAGTAAAAATCAGGTACAATTTCCTAAAATTGAAAAAACAGAAGGTTTTATTTAGTAGGTAATTAGTAATAGTGATGCAACTCAAATTAGAAATAATTGAGTAAATATTAATCATAAAATCCTAAATAATAAATAAAGATAATATTTAAAATAATAAAAAAATATTATATTACTTTAACTTCAAATAAATCTGTAAAATCTTTACAAATTATTATTATAAGTACTACTAGAATTGGAAAATCTTACTTAATAAGTATCATTTAGGACAGACCGCAAGAAATATTACTATACTTGCTTTAACAGGTATTGTAACCTTAAGATTTAGGGTAATACTATCTATTCATCACTTACAATTTTAATATATAATACAAAATATAAACTTAAAGGTAAATAATTGAAAAAATTATAAGATAAAATAAAGAATATCTAATATATTATCATTGATAAAATGAGTATAATAAATCATCATTTTTTTACTTTAATTAATTTAAAACTGCATCAGTAATTA